GCCTGCACTGTCCAGTACTGTAGCCAGCAACCACATGTGGCCTTTGAGCATTTAATGTGGCTAGTCTCAATTGAGATGTACTGTAAATGTAAAATACACATCAGATTAAGTGTAAAATACACACCAGATTCCAGACTTGGTACAAAAACCCACATGCAGAATATATCATTAGTAATTTTTAATTGATTGCATGATGAAAGAATATTTTAGATATAGGATTAAATAAAAATATTTTTTATTTACTTTTTTAAACTTTTTTTTTTTTAATGAATGAGTTTTCCTGTCATTCTGCATCCTTGGTAGGACTGATATTCTCAGGTTTGTTTGCTTGGAATGTAACCATTCTAACAGATGTGTAGTATATCTTATTGCTGTTTCAGCTTGCTTTTCCCTAATGCACAATACATTTATTTTCCCATGATTACCTGAATATCAGTGTCTTTTTTATGATTTTTCCCCATCTGTTTATCTTCTATGGTAAGGTGTCTATATTTGTATACTTGCCCTTTTTTTTTAACCTTTTGACCCACTTCACCTATTTCCCCAACTACGCACCACCTACCTCTGGCAACCATCAATCTGTTCTCTGTATTTATAAGCTTGCTTTTTTTGTTTGTTTGTTTTTGATTCCACATTTAAGAGACATCATAAGGTATTTGTCTTTCTCTGTCTGACTTACTTAGCATGATGCCCTCAAGGTCCATTCACATTGTAAATGAAAAGATTTCATTGTTTTTTATGGTTGAATAATATTCCATTGTGTGTGTGTGTGTTTGTGTGTGTATGCCACAATATCTTTATCCATTCATCCATCAACAGACACTTCAGTGAACATAAGGGTGCAAATATCTCTTCAAGTTAGTGTTTTTATTTTCTTTGGATAACCAGAATGGAACTTCTGGATCATATGTAGTTCTATTTTTAGTTTTTTGAGGAACCTCCATACTCTTATCTGTAGTGGCTGCACCAATTTACATTCCAACAGTGTACAAGCATTCTCTTTTCTCCACATCCTTGCCAACACATTTTATTTTTTGTCTTTTTGATAACAGCCATTCTAACATGTATGAGGTGATATCTCATTATGGTTTTGATTTGCATTTCCCTGATGATTAGAATGTTAAGCATATTTTCATGTACCTATTGTCCATCTGTATGTTTTCTTGGGAAAAATGTCTATTCAGATCTCATGTCCATTTTTCAATCAAAAATATTTTTTGCTAATTAAGTTGTTTGAGTTCTTTATATATTTTGGATATTAACCCCATATCAGATATATGATTTGCAAGTATTTTCTCCCATTTTGTTATGGTTTCCTTTGCTGTGCAGAATGCAGAAGCTATTTAGTGTGATGTCCCACATAATTTATTTTTGCTTTTGTTGCTTTTTTGCTTTTGGTGACAGGTTCAAAAGATCATTGCCAAGACCTATGTCAAGGAGATTACTACCTAGGATTTCTTCTGGGAGTTTTATAGTTACAGGTCTTGAATCCATTTTGAGATTATTTCTGTCTATGGTGTAAGATAGTGGTCGAGTTTTATTCTTTTGTTTGTGGCTGTCCAGTTTTCCCCACACAATTTATTGAAGAGATCATCCTTTCCCATTGTATATTCTTTACCATATATGAGTGGGTTTATTCTTTTTACTTTTTTAACATGGCTATTAGATCATTTAAAGTTACTTATGTAGCTCATAGTATATTTCTATTGGACAGAGCTGATCTAGACTATAAGTTCCTTGAGGCCAGGGACAGCGCCTGGCACATATTCATTAGATGCTTGATGCATGTTTGATAACCAAACTGGTTAAAATGAATGAATGGATGAGAATTATAATAGTTTTCAAAGTAGTGATTTTGACACTGTGGAATTAGAAAGTGATAGGCCAGATGAGATGAATTTTGTCAGGAAACCTTCAAATGTCCATTATATTAATAGTCCCTGGTGCGTGGGGCTGGAACATACATTAAAAGTGATTCACATGCTGACTGCAGCTGCTCCTCATGAGACAGTCAGATATGCCCAATATAGGTTGACCTGAATTTGCTACTCATGAGTCCTTTGTTCTTGTGCCACAGAGAATTCAGAGTTTTGTTCAAGAATGATCCATTTCCAGAGAGGATTTTTCCTATGTGCCATTAGCTGTGGTTCTCAGACTTTAATGTGCCTAAGAATCACTTGCTAAGCCTGTTACAAATGCAGATTTACAAACTCATTTTCAGAGAGTCTAGGTAAGTAGATAAGGGATGGGGCCCAGGAATCTGCATGTTAACATCCCAGAAGATTCCAGTGTCCTGCAAATAAAACCTTGAGGAACACTGCTATATGGCATCATAAACTGAGAATGGCCTGGAAATTCAGGTAGAAGGGGTAGTTTGCTCACTGATTTTTGTTATCTGTTATACTATAAAGAACTTAAATTGTTAAATATTTTAATAATCAAAAAGTTGCAGCAGAGGAAACAATCAGCAGTGAAAAAGCAACCTACCAAATGGGGGAAAATATTTGCATATATATCAGATAGGGAGTTAATATCCAGAATATATAAAGATATATAACTCCTACAAAGCAGTAACAAAAAAAATTACCTGATTAAAAAATAGGCAAAGGACTTGAATAGACATTTCTCCCAAGAAGAATTACAAATGGCTAATAAGCACATGAAAAGATGCCCCCCCCCATACTAAAGATCAGGGAAATGCAAATCAAACACAATGAGATACCACCTCACACCCATTAGGATGGTTGCTATAAAAAAAAAAAAAAGCCACCACCAACAAAAAACAAAATAAGTGTTGGCAAGAATGTAGAGAAATTGGAACCTTGAAGCACTGTTGGTGGAATTGTAAAATGGAGTAGTAGCTGTGGAAAAAAATATGGCGGTTCCTTAAAAAAAAAAAATAGAACTACCATATAATCTAGCAATCTTACTTCTGAGAATATATTCCAGAAAAACCTAAAAACAGAATCTTAAACAGATATTTGCACACCCATGTTCACTGCAGCATTATTCACAATAGCCAAGATATGGAAGCAACCTAAATGTCCATCAGTGGATGAATGGAGAAAGAAAATGTGTTATGTACATACAATGGACTATTATTCAGCACTAAAATAGAAGAAAAACTTGTCATATGCTACAACATGGATGAACCTTGAGTACATTATGCTAAGTAAAATAAACCAATCACAAAAAGACAAATGCTGCTGATTCCACTTATATGAATTACCTAAGACAGTCAAACTTATAGAAACAAAGTAGAATGGTAGTTGCCAGGGGCTGGGAGGAGGTAGAAACAGGGAGTTGTTTAATGAGTATAGAGTTTCAGTCATGCAAGATGAAAATGTCCTGGAGATCTGCTGTATGACAGTGTGCATATGGTTAGCAGTACTGTACAGCATATTTAGTAATTGTTAAGAGGATAAATTTATGTTGTATGTTTTTAGTATAACAAAAAGTTAATTAAAATATCAACTATCCTACTAGTTCATAGTACAATCAAACTTAGGGGAAGAGTATAATAATTTTGTTACTTGAATTTTTTTTTTTGAAAAATTTTGTTGGAAGCTTTGTGCTCAACTTTTTTTGTTTTGTGTTTTGTTTTTATTTTTGTTTTGGAGGAGGTAATTAGGTATATATTTGTTTTGATGGAGGTACTGGGGATTGAACCCAGGACTTTGTGCATGCTAGGCACTCGCTCTACCACTCAGCTATACCCTCTCACTCTGAGCTCAATAAATATGTACTTATAGTGAAGCTGTGTGGATGGTGAGAGAACTGAAGCTCACTGGTCTCTCCATGATTTACTGAGTAAAGGGCAAGCCTTACTCATCATGACTGTCATTCCCAAAGCAACTTGTCCAAAAACCTGGATGCCCTCCAGGAGGAAGAGAGATGCTGATTACAGGAAATTGTCATCTCAGAAGCATTCAGAGACACTAAGAAGGTATCTTTCCTCTCTCCTGTTCCCATAACCTGAAGCCTGGAATATCAGCACCTCAGTTGCATTCTCTTAAAACATTTTTTTTAAAGCCTTGGAAACTAATCATTTTAGGGATCCTGGTTGCCAGGACCCTTTCTGAGGCAGAGGGAGAATGATTGGGTTGATTTTTTTTGGAGTAACCAGAGCATTCATACACTGAGCATTCATTCTGGCAGCTAGCAGTCTGTGTCTGCCCAGAGGCCATTCCTTTAGGTAGTGAGCTCCTCATTCTTTCTTGTAACTGATGGACAAGTGTGGCTGGGTTGGCTGCCTCTGCCCCTCGCTGGGATTGGTGAGCTCCCATGAGTGGGGCAAATGGAGTGAGGGGCAAAGGCATCAATTGACTCTGATACTTATCAATGAGATGAAAATACAGTGCTGTGTCGGTCAAGACTGAAATGGTCACATTTTCCTCCTTGGTACCCTTCTTGGTATCTTGTTCTAGCCTATCAACTCCTTCTGTTTACTTTTGTTTTTGCAATGTGCTGGTTTATTTTTTAGAAATACTGATTATGAAAGATTTCCAATCTGTAAAGAGGTAAACCAATGCTATATACTCATCATCTAGCTTATCAAAGAAAACATTATGTGTACAAAGTCCCTGTGTACCCTTCTCAAATAATATTCCCCACCCCCACTGCAGTGGTAACTGCTATCTGAAATTTAGTGTTCACCATTCCTAAGCAGTTCCTTATACCTTCACTATATAATGTTTATATTCTTCAACAATATAGAGTATAATTTTCATGTTATGGTCTCATATTTTATGTAGCCTTCTGCAACTGCTTTTTTCTTTCAACCTGCCTGCTCACTTCTTAAACTTCATTTGGGATATTTCTTCCAGAGTTACTTAGCTAAACTATTCTTGACTCTGGTATACAGTATTACTGTGTAGTAGTGTTTGGCCCCTAAAATACAACAACTAGAAATGGTTTAGATTGAAAAATGTTATATTTGTCAAATTAACATATACTTGCACTATAGTGTGTAACTGTTAAACATATTTGTTTTATTTCAGGTTCTAATATAACTTATCCTCTCATGCTTTTTCCCTGACCCATCTCCCCAGATCATCAGCAGTAGAAAAAGAAGAAGGAAACATGTCAGGACACAAATGGTAAGTAATTTGTTATCTTTTCTAAAATAGGAGAGGTTAATGAAAGAGGAAAGCACATAATATATGCTCAATAAATGTCTATTGGATGGAAAAATTAAGAGTCACATCTCAGTAAATAACCTGTTAAACCACATCCAGTGTTGAGTACAGTCAAGTTCAATATCCCTACTAATACAGTATGAAAACCAATAACCAGAAACATTCTCTAAGAAATTCATTTATGTGTAACTCTTCTCTTGAGAATCTAATGATGGCTTTTCTTACCACCATTTTTTCAAATGTAATGAATTGGTACTTTTTTAATCTGTCTTATTTACAACTTCTGATATTAGGGTTATAAGGGAATTTTATGTAGGGCAACTATAAAATAACAATATAACTATACAATAACAATATAAAATAACTCAGACTCATTAATTTATAGTCATGACTTAACCTTCACGAACATTCAGGAGCCGGTGATGGTTGGAAGTAGATGATGCTGAGTGAAATAGATGTAATCACATGGCAATGTTAGCACTGTCATTTGCATGCCTATAATGCGTCTAAGCAGCATATTAAACCTCTCATTAAATTCCAGATCTGCTACAAGCAGTGTTTCTGGACACTTTTGAACCATTGTTCCACTGGGCAAGCAGATCTTTGTCATGATTTACCTCCTTTAATTTGTATCATGAAAAAGTATGGTGCATATTTTCATTTTGAAATGTACAATTAATTATAAGGAATATACTTTTTAATCTCTCCTCCCTCTCCTCTGATTGTAGAGAAGCAATCAGGTCCCAGTCCTCTGTAATATCGAATGTCAAACTTTAAAAGAATTTTGCATGTCTTAAAGTGTAATGAGCTGTAAAAGGTAATTAATAAATGGCTAAGGGATTTATTTTTACTGAGTATCTCCATTTGACAGCTCTTTAACTAAGAGTTGTCAGGCTGTTTTTTTAATTGTTCCATCTTGCCTCATTAAGACAAGGGGATGGCTTCATCTTGTGACCCACATAATGGTTGTCATATCCTGGCAGTAGTCTCAGGGAAGTAGGTAGTCAAGTCACCCACTTTAGAGAGATTGGAGAGCCCCAAGAAGTGGACCTTTCCTCATAGTCTTTCTCCTACTCACTGTGCCACTTCATCGCTTGCTGCTGAAATGCAGGGGCTGCACAGAACATTGAAATGTGCACTGCACCGGGATTAAGAGGCTTGGATTTTAATCCTGTGTGATTTGGGGCAAGATTCTTAGCCTTTTGAAACCTTAGATTCCTCATTTGTTAAATGGCAGGGTTAAGGCCTGTTCACTAAATCCCTAAACTCCTTTTTTTCCCCTCAAAATGGAAATTTTTTTTTCTGTTAATCCATAACCTTTGACAAAAAAAAAATTAATAGAGATAAATCCATCCCATTTCCCACTCTTGAAAATTTCATTCCCCTTAAATAGCCAGAGTTTTGGGGAGTATATTCTTCCAGTCTTTTAATGCACATACTTTGTAGAGGGATTATTGTACACATAAAAGTTACATATATTTTTATCTTATTTTCTCTGATTCAAACTCATAATAAAACCTTTTTATTTATATATTTTAAATAAAAATTGTATATATTTATGGTGTGCAACATGATTTGATGTACATAGTGAAATCATTATTACAGTCAAGCCAATTAACGTATCATCTCCTCTTCTAGTTACCATTTTTTGTATGTGATGAGTGCACATGAGGAGCAATGCTCCTCTCCTAGCATATTTCCAATGTTCAATACAGTGTTATTAAGTATAGTCTTCATGCCTGTGCATTAGATATCTAGACTTATTCAAAACTTAGAAACAAAGTAAAATATAATTCTTTGGATCTTTCCAAAGATAACCATTGCTAAGGAAGTCGTCTGAAACCCTTTCTGATTTTTTAAGAACAAATGTGTGATTTGAAAATTGTAAATGTTATCTGGCAGGAGAGTATAAATCATCGAGTTTTGAGATACATGTTTTGATATAGTAGTATAAAGCAGCTTATGTTTTAGGACACAAGTCTGGCACATTTTGAGTGCTGATGGGATGGGGTAGAAGAAGTTACATTTCTGCAGAGGGAGACACCAGGGGGTCCTGTGTGGGCTTTTGAACCCTAGACAGGAGGAAATGGAGACAATGCAGGGAGGCATGGAGCACCTGTGGCAAGCTTTCAGTCAACATTTTGGTACTCTAGTCACTTACACAGAATTCCATTTCATTCTCAGCTGAATTTTTTTCTAAGTTCTTCTTTATAAACTTTTTGATGTGATCTTCACTGTGCTGTTCCTTCACTACATTTTCTATCTGTATTTTAAGCATTTACGTTTAAGAATTTAAAGTTTTTATATAAGAAATGCAGAATAGATTTTTTAAAATATTTTTTATTTTTTCAAAATTTTATTTGACTGTGGTAAGAATACTTAACAGGAGATCTACCCTTGTAACAAATTTTTAAATATATAAGCTAGTGTTTTGAACAGCAGGCACCATGTTGCACAGCAGAACTTATTCATCTTGTGCAGCTGGAACTTTTTGCCCATTGATTAGCACTTTCCCATTTCCTCCTCCCTGCCCAGCCTCTGGGAAACACTATTCTCTCTGATTCTATGAGTTTGACTGTGTTAGGTACCTCTGTGACAGTTTAAGCATGCTGTTTTTCAGCCCCTTATCTCTACTTTTCTGCCATCACTTCAGCGTTGGCCGCAGGGCTGGAGTGGAGAGAATGTTGGTGTCCAGCTGCATCTCTGACTCACGGGGGTGCTTAAATCTGTCACTCTGCCTGGCTTGGCCCCATTTGCCCCACTTCTGAAAGGAGTATGTCCAACCTTTTGATAGCTAAACCCTTTGAGGTTTAGTTTCTTAATTTCCTGCAAACGTTTCTTCATTTCCTACTCACGTTTAAGGTTTTGGTGTAAGTTAGACGATTAACTTTTTGATGTCATAACCATATAAGAAAGTATTTATATGTTTATTAATGTTGTAAATGTTCAGATTAATTTTTGTTTGCAATAAATTATCTTAATTTTTTTGAAAGTCATGAGTGAAATGGTTCTTTGAATGCTTTTTAGCAGTTATCCCTGGGACTTACAGGATCGCTATGCTCAGGATAAGTCAGTTGTAAATAAGATGCAGCAGAAGTACTGGGAAACGAAGCAGGCCTTTATTAAAGCCACGGGGAAGAAGGAGGATGAACACGTCGTTGCCTCCGACGCAGACCTGGATGCCAAGCTGGAGGTGAGCCCTCAACTCCAGCACAGCCACCTTCTAGAGAGGTCTGAGAGTGAACTCACGGGACAAGCATTGGTGTGCTTTGTATTTGAAAATACATTGCAAATAACTAGTTCAGGAGGAAAATCTAGGATCAGGTAAATTCAATCCCAGAATATTTAATTTAAAACCTACAAATTCTCCTGGAACCACCACTATGCCTCAGTGAACTTGTTTTTCAAGTACTTCCTTGGCATGCATGGAATATGGTCAATTAAAAATACATGTTTGTTGAAAAACTTTAATACAATCAAAGAGCGTCTGCTAGTGATAATGACACTAGGGTCAGGAAAATGTTTACATTTAAAAAAGAAAAAAGGATAGTAGCAAAAAATCCTGGAAAGTGAGTCTAGTAAGCTTGTATTGAATCCTGTAAAATTCTAGAATGAATTAACTAATACTTAGTTAATAATACAGTCTTTTCATAATACAGCTAAAATCATATCTAATTGGTCCTTGAATACTAGTATAACTAGTAGAAGGCCCACTAATTCCCTGCCTTGGTGGACATTCTGCCAATACTTCAGACTAAAATTTAAAAAGCATACTTATCACTTCTGTGAATGACAGGGCACAGAGAGAAATAATACATCACACGGTCTGATAAGAACTCAGAATGATAACTAAGCTTAATATATAGGCTAAAGTTAATGAGCTAAACATTTAATGGGGCTAAAATCAAAAGCTCAAGATTTCAGAAAGCTTTCTGAGAAAGGGTGGCCAGGATGGTGGAAGCCATGGCTATTCTGGAACAGAGAGGTTTAAGGGAAGACTTGTTAGTTGCCGATTATATGATTATATGGGAAGGCCTGTCACGTGGAGAAGGGATGATTCAATCCGTGCAACTGAGGGTAGAACCAGACCCAGGGCCACTGTTCACAGTGCTCATCTCTCATGGAATTATCTCAAGTGTTCATTTGTTTGCCTGCCCTCCCTCCACTAGGAGGTCAAATTCCATGTCAGCCTTATTCACTATTGTATCTGCAGACACACAGTACACATTCAGTAAGTAGTAACTGAATAAGTGTACATGTTAATGCAATTAAGATTAGTTCCCAAACCTTTCTCCTGTCATTGAAATTGTTCTAACAGAAGCTGGGTTTGACAGAGATGTTCTAACAGCGATTGCTGCCATGGAGGCCTCTATTCTGATTTTGCTATTCTGAACAGAGTTGAAATGGTTATAAGTCACATATGCTTTTTACATCTTATAGATTTTTTTTCTTAACAACCTAGCGAATATAAACATTATTCAAAAAGTAATATGTTAGTTTCTAGTACATGAAACTCAATACAGTAATTTTATCTTTATATTTAGTTTCTGGCAGCAGCATTTTTACTGAGCCAACTGTACTTTAATCAAAATAGCTGCCGTCCTAGGCACATAGCATCCAAACTACTTAGCTGTGATTAAGTTTGTGTTGCAGAAATGTTAATACCAATGTTGATATTTATAGAGAAAGAGAATGGATTTCATCAATAAAACATAAGAAAACAGTGTACAAACCATTTTGATATGCTCATCAACTAAATTATCCATAGAAGCCTAGCTTATAAAACAAGAATTTGTATTCTGTTGGCCAAGAAAACATCTGTGCCAAACTATGATAATGGTCAGATTCTATCATAATCTGTTGGGAAGTTTATATAGAAATGTTGTACTGAGTTTAAATATTTGTCAGAATTGCTTGTTCATGAAATCATCTTCTGAAAAACAGCTCTTTAGTACAAGAACTGACAAAACTAACCTGTGATGACAGAAGTCTTTTAGTGGGTGCTACAGCAGAGTAGACTAATTAGATGGGGGAAATATTTCTTATTGTGGTTGTGGTTACAAGTGAGTATACAGTTGTCAGACTCACAGAACTGAACTCTGCAGAGATGTGCATTTTATTGCATTTAATTTATACTGTAGTTTTTTGTTTGGTTTTTCGTTTTACATACATATTTTTATTAAAGTATAGTCAGTTTACAAGGTTGTATCAATTTCTGGTGTACAGCATAATGCTTCAGTCGTACATGAACATACATATATTCATTTTCATATTCTTTTTCATCATAAGTTACTATAAGATATTTAATATAGTTCCCTGTGCTATAAAGTGTGAACTAGTTGTTTATCTATTATATATACTTTAATTAGTATCTGTAAATCTGAACTCCAGATTTATCTCTTCCTACCTCCTTCACCCTAAAAAGAATGAAGGAAGAAAAAAGAAAAAGAAAAAAAATCTATATTTTCTTGCTCCCTTCTCACACCTTTTATGATTTTCATGTCCTTTTTTTTTTTTAATATATTTTCATGTTTATTCTCTTGCAACTCATTGTACTTATTGCCTTTCCAGATATGATTTTCTCCTTTCTATAGCTCCTGCTTTTTCTCTATTTAGAGGAGACCTGTCAATATTTCTTTCAGGATAGGTTTAGCGTTGCCGAATTCTTTTAGTTTTTACTTGTCTGTGAAGTTCTTTCTCTCTCCTTCCACTCTAAAGGATAGTCTTGTCGGATAGAGTGTCCTAGGTTGCTACTTTTTCTCATTCAGGACTTTGAATATATCTTGCCACTCGCTTCTGGCCTGCAGTGTTTGTGTAGAGAAATCAGCTGAAAGCCTTATGGGGGTTCCCTTATAGCTAGATCTTTGTTTTTCTCTTGCTGCCTTTAGAATCATTTCTTTATCTCTAACTGTGACCATCTTAATTATAATATGTCTTGGTATGGGTCTGTTTGGATTCTTCTTGTTTGGGACCCTCTGTGCTTCCTGTACTTGGGTATCTGATTCTTTCTTTAGGTTTGGGAAGTTTTCAGTCATGATTTCTTCAAATACCTTTTCAATCCCTTTTGCTCTTTCTTCTCCTTCTGGGACCCCTGTGATGTGTAGGTTGGCACACTTTATGTTATCCCATAGGTCCCTTGTATTGCTTTCATTGGTTTTTACTTGCTTTTCTGTCTGCTGTTCTGACTGGGTGATTTCTGTCATTCTGTCTTCTAAGTCACTCATTTGTTCCTCTGCATTGTCTAGTCTGCTTTTGACTGCCTTTAGCTCAGCTCTTATCTCAGCCATTGAGTTTTCTGTTTTTAATTGGCTCCTCTTTATAGTTTCTATTTCCTTTTTATAGTATTCTCTGTCTCTAGTCATAGTCTCTCTCATTTCTTTCAGTAGTTTTATCACCCCCTTTTGAAGTCATGATCTATTAGACTGTCAAAGTCTATCTCATTGATTGTTCCTTCAGGGGATTTCTTTTGTTCTTTTAATTGGGAGTGGTTCTTCCACTTCTTCATTTTACTTAATATTTCTCTGGCTCTGTTACTTTAGAAGTATTAGTAATCTACTGTGGTCTTGAAGGGCTATTTTATTTTTTGTTTGTTTTTATTTAAAATGGGAGAGTTCTTATATAGACTGTGTGTGTCTATTAGTTTTGTTGTGAGGGCTGTTCTTAGTATGGATGGTTACCACGTCTTTCTTCCATGTGTGTTATCCCTTTGATTGGGCCTGTGGTTGGTGTTGTGGTGATTAGAGCCTGCCCTGATTGTTGTTGTTGAGTGGGGCCTCCTTTTTTGTTCTGTGGTTGTTGCAGCCTTGACAGGGACCGGGTCTGCTCCCCTGTTGCTGGAATAGAGGCTCCTAGACCTGTTTCTGAGCTGTGGTGTGTGGTAGGCAGGGTTGGAGCACTTCAGCTGGGAAGAACAGTTGCTGAGTGTACCTCTACAGGAGATGGACACTGGGAAGTGCCCTCTGCGGTGTTGTCTGTCACGTGTTATCTGGGCTTACAAGGTACTTTGTTGATGCTGCCTTTTTCCCCACCTTAGCTGCAGGAATGTCAGCCACCTGCTCTGGTGTCCCCCAGGTTCTGGGTCCCAGGAACCACCAGTGTAGATCTGCCAATGTTAGGCGCTATAACGAGTGTGCACACACCTGAGTCTGTGGTGTGGCTCCCCAACCCCGCCTCCGCATACAGTACTGGACACTGGCCTGTTGTAAGTGCCCGTGCTCGCCCCCAGCATGAGTCAGAACTCTGCTCACTGCCCATCTGTCCCAGAGGCGCAGGTCCACAAAGGGTCCTGAGAGAGCAAATCTGCCCTTTCTGCCTGGGGCTGTAAGCAAATCTCAGTCCCACCCGAGAAGTTGCAGGGCTGCAGGGTATGGATTCAGCCTTCAGCCCTGCCTCTGCACAGCAGTGTTGGCTATGATGGAGCCCCACCTCTCTTATGAGAACACACCAACAATGGTGCCAAGCAGAGACAGAGGCTATGGCACGGCTATGCCACACCCCTCCACCCCATGCACACCAGCAGTGGTGCTTTTTTATGAGGGTCCCAGGCTCTTCTGTTCCACACACACCCCCCAGCCAGAGCTCACACCACCCCCCAGTGCCCTGAGGCTGCCTCTGGGCAGTGGGCCCCAGCCCTCTGCCTGGGCTCCTCACCTATCTCCAGCAGCCAGTCCCAGTTTGTTCCTGCTGGCTCGAGTCTAGGGCTGGGGATTGCAGGGACCCCCCTGTACCAGTTTATATTAGTTCTGTCTGCCAAGCGGCTGCCACTTTCTCCTCTGAGCCTCGGAAGCTCCGCTTCTGTCCCCGCTGACCTCCCAGCTAGAGAAGGGGCACACCAGCATGAGGGTGCCTTTCTTTGCCACTCCTTCCCTGCAGGACCAGTCCCTCACTGATTTTTTTCTTTTTTCTTTCTTTTTTATTTTCTTGTCTTACCGGATTTTGTGTCAATCCTGTATTTCAAAGCGAGAGACACACTGCCAGAGTTCAGTAGGTGTTCTGTGCGATTCAGTGGGTTTGTAGGTGTAATTCTTGATGTGTTTGTGGGAGGGGGCAAGCTATGAGTCTCTCTGCTCTGCCATCTTGGCTCCTCTCTATACTGCAGTTTTAAAAAGTGAACGGTAACAACAGAATAGCTCTTGAAAGTATTTTTTGAACATCCTTGCTCCTATATTTAGGTATTACTATATGTTGATGGTTTGTGACCCAGAATACTGATATCAAGCATTTTGTGAAGGAACAGGGTCAGACTGCTGATTCTCTGTTTTGTTTTATGGTAAAGGATTTTTGTTTTTCTTCCTAAACACATAGAGGATGCAGTGTAATTAAATGAGATTTAGTAACATTTATATTCTTCTTGACCAAGTTTTATCATATTAAGCATTTCTGGGAATGTTTTTTAATCACTTAAGTGTTTATGCATACATTCATTTTTATTAGAACATTTGGTCATATTTATTATGAAGCAGATCTTCTGTTTTGATCCAAATGGTGAAGTACTTTGTAATACCAGGACGTAATTGCTACATCATCCCACCCAGTAAACTAGAGGAGAGAGGGGTAGAAAGCCTTGCCCTATGTCACTGTGTGGCTCTTCAGAGGCATAGTGTTTGTCTGCCAGGTTTTCTAATTGATACCAGCCCACATCTCTGAGTTGCTATGCAGAGGTGGAGAAAGTATGAAGTATCTGCTATGTCTTCTCTTGAACTGTCTCTGTTTCTGAAGCGAAGACCAGGACCACCATAAGTTGAAATCTAGCTAGATTCTTCTCAGTACAGCCTGGCTGCTTTTCCCTTAATTTTCTGTTATGGCCATAGCATGACGTTAGGTTTCTTCTCTGTATATTTTATGAAATAATTGGGAAATAAAGAGTGATGGGGCTGCCAGCTAAACTCCATTTTACCAGATGTCTTCTTACCAGACAGAACATTCAGCTGATTGATTTTTGTTTGCTTTTAATGGCATTGTGTAAGCATGCTGTAAAATACATTAGGATCACAAAATAAGCTAATGTCGTGTTTTAAATATGATGCTTAATTGACAGAGCATCCATTTTTAAAAAAGACAGCAAATGGTAACAGAAATAAATTAGATTATGAATGAATATTGCATCTCTGGTTTACCAGGTCCTCTAATTGGGCCTTTAAGTTAGGATTTCTGTTTTTCAGCTATTATTTCAATAGTCTGGAGGAAATCATCCTTCTGTAGATCTCAATTTAGATTGCAGAGATGATGAATTCCAATAAATATAGAATAATAGCAGCATATTCAAAAGCTTTGGTCACAGTTTCTGTTCAGTGCACCACATCACACCATGTACGCTTAGGCATGTGATCTTGTTTTTAGCAGGCAAATCAAACACTATGGTTATATTCAGTGTAATTATTTTTAATTCCATTGCTGTCTGTTTTATTTAGCATCTTCTTATATTTTTATTATAGCTGTTTCACTCCATTCAGAGAACCTGTCTGGACTTGTCTAAAGCAATTGTACTCTATCAAAAGAGAATATGTTGTAAGTATGCCATAAGTATGAATATTGACTAGATAGACAGTAAGAGATAGGTGTTTTGCCTTAATATGTAATTTCATATGTTTAGGAAGCCAGGCAAGGAAACAACTGTTTAGGAGTGTCTGTCTTTGCTCTTTACTTGGTGTGGGGGGTGGTCTTTAATAGTTTTATCAGAGATTCTTTACATAGGCAGTTTATCTTGCAATGCAAGTACCACACCAGAAGAATTTTACATTGAGTCTGCCATGGATAAGTGCATGCCATTTATTTTCCTAATTGCAATAAAGTTTTCTGAGTATTATATCTTGGGATTTTAAAATTGGGGGTTGTTTTTATTTGATTGCCTGGGCTCTCTTACATCTAGTTTTGTTCCTTTTAAAATGACCAAGTGGAAAGAGAAGACATGTACAGTTAATCCATTAACTGTATTTTGTTGACAGTTCTTCCTCATGAACATTTTTCACGTTGGATATTGGGTTATTTAGGGAACAAGATTTTCCTGTGGTCATCCCACCTTAAAATCATTACCAACAAACTTATGTCTTAAATGCTAAATATCAAGTTGTATGTTAGTATGTTTTAAATTTTCCATTTGTCAGTAATTTACAATTTCTGTATTTCTGAGACTAAAATATGAGAAGTTTGTTTCTGACTACTACCAAACCCCTTTCCAATATTCATAAATTAACAATTGGTCATTCTCCTTTATTAGTAACCTTTTAAGAAGACTGTTTTGGGAAAGTACAAAATCCTAGGCCTTAGAGGCAGACTTTAGTAAGTTATCTATGTTACTGTTTACTAAGAGCTTGAGCTGAGACTTCTCCAGGGCTAGAACTCCCTACTCTCAAGGTGTGAGGAAACCAAGGCACGTGACACACCTCCCCCAACATTTCTCTGCCTGCATCTCATCAGTCCCAAATGCTGGTCCATTTTGTCTCCCAGTTTGCTTTCAGATTCTCCTTCCTCTCCCTCATCACTGCCACTACCTTAGTTCAGGCACCATCATCACTCTGTCACTTGATTTGCTGTATCAGCTTCCTAACTGAGTTCCCTGCCTCCACTTTTGCCTCCTCTAGCCCACTGTCTATGCTGCCATCAGAGAGCAATCAGCAATCTCCCAGAGCTCCCAGTGGTCAAAGCTGGGACAATGTGGGCAACAAAATAAATAATTGATAGTATTAGATTATAACCCATGAAGTCAAATGAATATCCATTGTCTGTATGGAAATAAACCAAATGGGGAGAAGAGACCGCTCTTCCTTATCACTTAATTCCAGTAAATAAATATAGGAAGAAAGAGGGAACCCCAAAGGCACCATTAGGCAAACCCCACAGGAAGAATTGTGGCAGGTGAGATTCACTGAAAGACACTATAATCAGTGAGTGAAAGTTTGAGGAGAAACAGGATACTTGCATAGTCTTCTGTATTTAACCCCAAGATTTTTAAGAATTACAAAAGGAAAAATCATAATTTTACAGTGGGGAAACCCAGTAGACACGACTGGAACCAGGTGATGGAGGGGAACTTCACCAGCAAGAATGTGTGTTGGTCTCATACAGCCCTCATATCAGGCACTGAAAAGGGTTCTCCGCCTCTGTGGTTTCCTTCCCCCAAATCTGTAACCCCAGTCTAATCGTGAGAGAGCAGACAAACCCAAGTTGAGGGACAGTCCACAAAGTACCTAGCCAGTAGTCTTAAAGGCTGACAAAGTCCTAAAAGACAAGAAATCTGAAGGAACTGTCACAGGTTGAAGGAGACTAAAGAGACTGGACAACTCAATGCACTATGGGATCCTGGGACAGGAAAAAAATGCATGAATGGGAAAACTAAGAAAATTCAAATAAGACTTCGGTTTAGTTGGTAGTATGGTACCACTGTGACTTTCCTAGTCTTGATCATTGCCCATGGTGATGTAAGATGTAAACCTTAGGGGAAGCTAAAGAAGGATATACTGGAACTCTGTATCCTATGTACAATTTTTCTATAAGCCTAAAATTATTTCCAAATAAAGGTTTTTTAAAAAATGTACATTGAATCATATTGCTCTTCTGCTGAAAAGCCTCCAACAGCACTTAAAATAAGAGCCACACTTCTTCACCATGGCTTACAAATTCCTACGCTATCTGACCCAGCTCCCCTCTCCAGCCACTTTGGCTCTTAGCTGCCATGTGTTTTGAGGCCTTCTGCACTGTTTCCTCTGCCTGGAATGTTCCTGCCCTTATTGCCCCCAGCGGTCCCTCCTCATCATATTCAGAGCTTAACTTAGTGGTCTCCTGCTCAGAGATGCCTTCCCTGAGCACCCAGCCCAGAGCAGCTGCTAATCACGGTCTAACTCCCCCTCTCTTAGATGGTATTTTTCTTTTTGTGAGTTTGTTTGGAGTTTTGTATTTTCTATGTTCAATCTCCTACTGCTTGAAAATAAGCTCCATCAGAGCAGGGTCCTCATGTATCTTGTCCATCTCTTTATTCCCAGTGACTAGAACAGTGCAAAAACAAAACAAAAAAGGGTGGGTGTGTAGCTCAGTGGTAGAGCACATGCTTAGCATGCACGAGGTCCTGGGTTCAATCCCCAATACCTCCATTAAAAAAAATTAATAAATAAACCGAATTCCCCCCCACCAAAAAAAAACAGTGCATACTATATATTAAATCATCCATAAATCTGTACTCAGTGAATTGATACTGCCAAGCTAATTGGTTTTATAGTTCTTTAGTTGCCTTTTCAAGGCACATCTGATAATCAAATCACCAATTAGATATGAATAGGTTTTTATTCACCTCTGAATTCTAAATTCCCAGATAAGCGAAACCTTGTAGGTAGAAATTGGAGTTATCTGATACTTGTATTGCACCTGAATTTTAAACTTCTGTAAATTTATTTCAGTATTTGAATTTTAAAATTTAAATTAAGGAACAAACATCCCTTCTTGGAAAATGACAAGGTTATCACTAAGTAACCTAACCTGGAGCCTGATGTGGCTCAAACTTTGTCCACTGCCCTCTGAGCAGCACTGCCAGTTAATCAGGAGTTCAGTTCTTAAGATGAAACCTGTTTACCACCCCAACTTTAATCCTCAATTGTGTAAAATAACCAAAAATAAATTCTCAGATACTTCAAACTACTTAGGTTTATTTAGGAAAGAGTCCGTTTCACCACCTGTGTGGTCATTTCAGGTACCGTGAATTGGTTTCTTCTTAGCCTTAAGCTAATGTGTGTGTCTGTATGTGACTTGAGGTTTCAAGGGAGAAAAGGTGATAGTAACCCCAAACTGTATAAACAAAAATATGAAATTGCTCCTCATATGGAAAGATTCATTGTGCAACTGAGTCCCATGTTAGTAAGTAGAGAGGAGGAGAAATGAAGGTATTAAAAAACAGCACAATTTCTTATAATTATAGGGTTTTTAAAAAGAACTTAGAACCATGGCATAAATATCAAATAAGCATTTAAAGTGATGTAAAGTATATGAGGATAACAAGGCAAAAATTACAGTTAATTTGACTTCATACACATTTAATCAGTGCCCTGAATCAGACTTTTGCTCAGCCTGGGGAACCCATAGTTTGAATGAGGTCCCTGTCCTGAGAAAGCTTAGATTCTCACGGGAAAGACAGACACATGCCCACCCACGGACACTCCAGCCCCAGGATCCCAGAGGGTGCTGCTGTCATAGGGAAAGAGGGACCAGCTGCTTCACAGAGGGAGTAGCCTTTGAGCTAGACTGACCAATGAACCAGATTCTGAGAGCCAGAAGAGGAAGGAGTGTAGTCATGGACCCTCAGGAAGAATGGATTCAAAAAGCCTCTTCTCCATGGAATGTGTACCGTGAACTTCAGTTATAAATTAATAAGGAAGCAGTAGCAGGTTTAACCTTCAGCTTTGGGTTCCTGGTTCCGGGCTAACGTTTTACAGCCATTGCTAGAGAGCTCGTGCCAGGAATGGGGTGCATTCTGAAAGAAGTCTGAATTGTTTGTGAAAACAGACAAGAATCCTAGTAGCATTTAGAAAGCATTTTAGAGACACATCAATACAGAAATGTGAAGTAGTGTTCACTTCAGACTAGTGTTCAAAGGATATCCTCAGCAAAGGCTGTTTTTAGAGAAAAAAACATTCTCAGAAGTTTTGTGTCACCTCTTGCCTGTGGCTCAGCTGCTGGTGAATGCGTATTCAGACCAGTGGCTGCGTAACAGCCCACACATCATTGTGTGGGAGCACCGAGTTGATTAGACCAGTCCTTAAGGTAGGGAAAGAGAGTGTTTTGCTATTATAAACAACTATGCTGTGATTATATTGATATATACATCTTTATGCCCATTTTACTACTTCCTCTGGAGGTAACTCCTAGCAGAGGTACAGTGTCAAAAGATATATACAATTCTGACTTTTTAATATTTACTGCCAAATCAGTCTGTAGAGAGCTTGTTTCAGTCACTTTCTCACTAATACTGCCATCTGAGAGTCTTAAAAATAAGGCCAGACACATACAAAAATCAAATTATTACATTGTATACCAGAAACAAAGTTGTGTGTCAATTATATCCCAATTTTTCTAAAAACTAAAGATTAGGCACATCCAATTCAGATTTGGTTCCAGCTCTGCATTTTAAAACTCCACCAAGTCATCAACCTGATTACCTACATACCCGCAATCTCCACCCACTCCTCCAACCAAAAACCTATGCCATGAATAAGGTATTTGAGTTGCTTTATAATCAAGTGGAATGTAATTCAGAAAGTAGAGATCAAAAAGTCAGCAAGAGGGAATGACAGGAAGAAACTGGCCCTACATTATAGGCAGCCACAAAAGATTCCCACAGTCATACTTGACAGACCCAACTTTTTTTTATTTCAGCTCGAAGCAGCACATTATCGGCTCGTTTTTCAGTCCAGAGGTCATTTTCTGGTTCTGATTACAGGGCACCAAACACGCTGACAGATGTACTCAAGTGAATTTGATCTCTCATTTCGTAAATGGGAGAACAGCATAAAAGTTAAATGCGGTGGATGGGGGAGGGGGCTTACCTTGTAGGCTGCCACTTGGATTTAATTTTGTCTCCCCTTTGCCTCTAGAAGAGAGAGGACTTTGTGGTTTGTCTCTCTCTTTCTCTCTGTAATAAAAATGTTCGTTGTTCAGGGCTCCTTTTGGTCTTTTTTTCCAACAGTCTTGTCTCAAGAGGAAAATGAACTTGGAAAATTTCTCCGATCCCAAGGCTTCCAAGATAAAACCAGAGCAGGAAAAATGATGCAAGCGACAGGAAAAGCCCTCTGCTTTTCTTCCCAGCAAAGGTGTGTGCCTTCACTAGGGCTTTCCTTGGTGGGGGGGATTCTGCGAACAATCTGGGACCCACTCACTCATGGAGGGAAACCTCCCAGTGGTCTTTAGAAGACTCTCGCCTGAAACTGAGCTGCTCTGTTTCCAGGTGTTAGTCTGCTTGTACTTAACTCTTATTAAGATAACGTATATTATCTTTTTCCTTCCCTATTAATTAAAAAAAATCTTTTCATATTCTTCTGATCTATGGGGGGCATTTTATATGCCAGCCACTGTGTCCTAGGCTTCTATTTGATCTTCAGAGTTGCTCATAGCAATCCATCTGGTCTCCTTCCAGCAGGTGATTGAAGCAGGAGCCTGATGAGACCGGGGTGGGGGTGGGGGAGTCCCCTGTCTACTCTCTGGGGGCCAATTAACTTTAGAGAAGCACCATTCAGGATGCCCTCCACCATTCTGCTCACACCCTGGACCAGAAGCATGAGCAAGCTCACCTGGGAGCTTGTTAGAAATGCAGAATCTGGGTCCCACCCCGGAACTGCAGAATCCAAATCTGCATTTTAATGAGATCCCCAGTTGTTTTCAGTACACATTCAAGTTTGAGACGCTCTGGTGCAGAGAAAATTGTAATAGATCAGTGACTTTTTTCAGCACTACCATAACTCGTGTTCGTGGTCGGTGTCGAATAAACAGGAGCCACTGCATCCAGTCGCACTTGGTGTCTGAGAAGGTGACACTCCTTCTCTCCTCCTTCCCTGGTAACTAACGCCCCCCCCCCCAATGTCACTCGCTGATATTAGGCAGGATTATTCCTAAATAAGCCTGGTAGGTAGTTTCCAAAAATATTCAGGCTACAAGATTTCACCTATTCAAACTGTCCAACATTTTCTTCTCTTGTCAGTTTCTTCTTACTCCTTTCTTTCCTCGTGGGCCAAGAGTAGGCCATCCACCTGTTACACAGGTGTTCCTACAAAAACTCAAGAAAAGTGGAGCAGGAAAAAAAGAGACCCAACTGTGTCTGTTTTTCAGTGGTCCCCTTCCTGGGCATTTTGGTTCCTCCTAATGACATTTGGACCCTGACTTTGTGGGCAGTGCCAACTTTCATAGTCAAATGTGACAATTTACAATAGTTCTCTACTCCAGTTTGCCAAGAAAAGTGTTTATAATCTTGGATTGTTTATAATCTTGTTTTTCCTTGTAAAAATAATACATACTTATTCTAGAAAAATTTAAAAGCAGGAGCAGACCAAAATGATAAAATGAAAACAACTCAAATTTGCTAACAGAAATTGACCCGTTTTTGACCCCTTTATACTTTCTATGCAAATAACACTTTCCTCCTCTTACAGGGATCATTGATTCTTGAAAAATCTTTCATAAGCTCTATGTTAAACATTTAATTATCACTAATTTCAGTAGGAAAAATTCTTGTACATACCTACATGCCAAAATTAACATCCATTTATGGGAAACAAGCCAAATCCCTAGGCACAATCACAAGCATTACCATTCCTGATCATACAATTATTTTATAATATGGCTATCCAGTTATACACTTTCATCGTTATAT